AGCTGACATTTGCCTTCTGAAGCCAAAACGAAAAGGAGCTCCTTGCAAGCTTTCCATGGAGTTTACAGAACTGTAGCATTTTTTTGATTTATTCTTTCCTGCCTCCCCTAAAATCTGTATCTTTASGGATGCCAGAAAACATCTGGCCACYGAGGTCAAGGTTTTGGGCCGGGTTTTTTACTTGGCAGAGGCTGAAGCGGCTGGAAGTCCCCAGGTGGGACTGTGACCCCAAGTGGGATCTCATTGTTGATATAAGACAGTAGCTCTGCTGCTGCCTCACCCCCTCTGGCAGACATCAAATGACCCAAACTCATCCTGTTTTGTTGCCAGAGCCAGGCACAGCCCTGCAGAGGTGCTGCTCTCACAGGAACTGGAGTTCTGCAGTGGTCAAATTGTTCCCATGTGCCCCGAAGCAGCAGCGTCGAAGTTAAAGAAAGGGTTATGAAATGATTTGAGATCCTCTGGAAGCAGATGTAGCTCGTCAAGCAGGAATAATTCAGGGTTTGTGACGTTCCCAGGCTGCTTGCTGTGGGAAGAGTCAGATTTCCTTTCCTGTGGAGTAAAGCAAGGCACACAATTTGTTCCTGTTTCTGGCTGTGAAAGGGCACGGAGTCTGCATGAACTGGGGATCACCAAACAATAAAATCCCTAAATATTCATTTCTTTTCCTTCTGCCTGAAGCCAGCCCAGTCCTGACATTTTATAGTCAGTATTCTTATTTGTCTGAATGGTTTCTTACCTTTCCTGTGTGGGGAATTTGCCCAASAGGAATTAAATGGGTTTTGCCCTGCGTAGGCTGCAGAACTTCCCACCCCGAGGTCCCCGTGTGATCCGAGCCGGCTGAAAGAGCACATTGTCTGCACACAATTTGCACCAAAATTCACAGAACAATTCTAACAATCCAGGAGCCCTGACAGATTTATAGGCCTATCACTGATACGGCTGCAGGCTCTGGAAGTTAATTTATASGATTCAGCAACAGCTAAAGGTGGGGAGGTTTTCCCCTGCAGGGAATCGTGCTCTGTGCTGGAGGCTGACTCCAGGACTCCAGAAATCCCATCTCTGGGGAATCTGCTCCTTCCAGGCATTTCATGTGGTTATTTTTGGCCGTGCCTGTGGAGATTTCTGGTTTCCCAGCACAGCTATTTTTGTAACACACGGCTGTGAAGTCCATAGTATTAGACATAATTTGATTTTGGAAGTTGGAGTGCCTCGGGACCGTACGTAARGAATCTCTGCCTCCTGCACCTGCTCCTCTGGCCCATGCCTAAAACACTCCTTTACTGTACAGAGCTGAAGCTTCAGAGCCTTCCAGACAACAGCTCCTTTATGGAGCGTGCTAAGCTGCCATAAATATTTAATTAGGTGTTACTGTGGGTTTGGAGAGATACAGAAAAAAAACATAATCCCCATTTCCTTACGTTTAAAACAGAACCTTTTCCTGCTGGAAAAAATTCCCTGCATTAACTACTGACAGGGAACCATATTTTAAGAGGGGGCATAAAAATTGGAGAGGGTGAGAGGSTGAAGAGGAGATTTCTCAGGGAGCTGAGGGTTTTTCCTGGGCGGGAAGGAGCTGCTGGATGGTTGATTTGAGATGGAGCTGTGTGGGTGTCAGGCTGCTGGGTGAAGCTGCTTCCCAGCGAGGGGAGCTTCTGCTTCCCAAAAATAAATCACGGCTTCAGGGGCATTTTGTAATGAATCAGCAAACCAGGCTTGTGGTGGCACTGCTTGGATTGCTTCCTGTGCATTAAATTTTTGGATACAACAASCTGGACTGGGATTACAGCTGATGAACTCATCAGAGAAGGGTGAGAAAGAAGAAAGAAGCAGCAAAAGTGTGACTGTGCCACCTAATTTTAAAAATCAATCAATTGACAGACCTGCAGCTAAGATTTCATCCCAGTTTTCCATCCAGATGACAGAGGGGAAACTCAAATACCACTCAGAAAGGCTCATAATTATATTGGCTTTGTCTTTCAAAGCCAGGGAAAACTGATTTAGAGTGGAAATTAAAAATGCCATATGTATGGTTTGGTCAAAATAATGATGATGGGGAATTAGGGAGCAATTTGTGAGTATGTTAAGGGAGAGAAATTGTTTAGAGCAGGGTAAGGGCTATATGTAATCAGGTTAAATTRCCAGCAGGAAAAGTAAATCAGGAAGTTTTAATTTTAATTTTAAAAATCCAGGAAGCAGATGTGACATKGAGCTTGCTGGGCTGCAGAACAGCTCAGCACAGGCCTCTTTAAGGGGAGCATTTGGAAATTGTCCCCACACTGTGGGAAAAGGGCAGGTGAAGTTATTCCAAACGTGTGCTTTGTGAGGATTTTGAGAGCTTTGTGAGGATTTTGAGAGGTGCTGCCCTGTCTTGGGTTTACCCATGTACCCATCTGTGTGGCAGATGCATTTGCTGATTAAATTAATGATTATATCCATGGAAACAGAGGTGGCTGCTTCATTAGCCAAAAAAAAAAAATATGGAACACACAGCCCAAAGCGCCATAACCACCATGGGAAATGCTGTGTGTGCTTCCAGTCCCTCAAAATTGCTCTGCAAACATTTCCCTTCCCTCCTTCACTCAGTTACTGCCCCTCAAAGTCAAACCACGAGCCTGGAAATGTCCACAAACCTGACTTTACACCCAAATCTTGACCTTTTGATGTCACCAGTGGTGTTCCCAGGCACAAGCCCACCTGGAACTCAGCTAACAGGTGGAATAAGGAATTCCCTAACGTRGATTTAGGCTCTCAGGCTGGAAAACCCTTGGATATAAATAGCCTTTGCTCATGTTTGCCAAAGCAGATTGCAAAGCACACACTGGGCAGGGCAGAGCTTGGCTGGGACACACTGGTCATGGCATTTGTGTATCACACTGAGCCAACCTGGAGCACTCTTGGAGGTTATTCCAG